TCGGCGGGGCCGGGCCCGCCCCGCTGCCGTCAGAGCGCGGGCGGGGCGAGGCCGTGCGCGATGGGGGCCCGCGGGCCGTGCCCGCCGCTGGCCCCGCTGCTGGCCCTGCTGGCCCTGGCGGGGCCCGCCCGAGCCCTGCAGAATGTGACCGCTCAGCTCTTCGGGCCCGAGGCCCGCGGGACCCTGGCGGCCTTCGGCGACTTCAACTCGGACAAGCAGACGGACCTGTTCGTGCTGCGCGGCGGTGAGTGCGCGGCCGGGCCGGCGGCAGGCCCGGCGCTCCGCGGGCACGGGCGGTGCGAGCTGGGCTCCTCGTCCCTCGCAGCCGAGGGGCACGACCGCGGGCGCTGCCCGCCCCGCGCGGGGGACGGCGGGGCTGGGGCTGCGGCCGGCGCTCCGGTGCGGGCTGCCCGGCCGGGAGAGGGACGGGCTGCCGGTCCCGGCGGGCTGTGCCTTACCGGCTGTGCCTTACCGGCTGCTCGTCCTCCCCCGGGCACCCGCGGCTGTGCCGGCGCGGTGGGCGCAGCATCGTTCGCAGGACGAAACTGACACTTGCTTTGCTCGCAGGTGTTTCCTGTGTGCCATACGGTATTCGGTTTGCACTAGAATGGTTCGTATAGGGCGCGTTTTTCTTTAAAGTTGAATTTCTGGTTGTGAAATAATTTAGAGGCTTCATCCTACAACTTGAATGGTCACAAACTGTTGTTTTGCTCTTGCTTTCATAATATTTTTGGAAACAAAGGTCTACATTTCACAGGTGTGGAGGGAAAATTGCACATTATCCTACTTTGAACAGTAAACGTTAAAGTGCCATGGTAGCTGTCACCTGTCACAGGTTTCTCTTCAGGCTTCAGATATGGGGAGATCTCAAATCAGGGCTTATTTTCAGTGGTCAGTGTTATTTGCAGACATTAATCTTGGAATATTTTACTTTCTTGAAGCACATTAAGATAGTAAATTTATTCTCAGATTCACCTTTTTTATTCCTTCCATCTCAGAAATGTTTTTGTAAGTAGCTTTGGTAAAGCATGAGTGACTTTCCTATCTAGTTGAGTTATTGAAATGCATGGCTCCCTGGAAATGCTCCACTGGCTCATCTACTGAAAAAATGGTCAGATTTAAAATGAATGTCTATGATAACAGATTTAAGTTTTACTTTCTTATCTCTCAGATGAGTGCATATAAAAATGTGAATAGTTATAGGTTTCAGAAATGAGATTCGTGATTCCTTTACGTCTCTAGAGCAGTACTTGATAAATCATTTTCCTGTGTGGTACTTACTGTAAAAACCAGACTGAAATAACATAGTTTAAAACATTATTTTTCATAGCTTAAGTCTTGGTGAAAAGTAACTACAGAATTCTCTCAAAACAAAAGGTAGTAGCTCTAAATAGTGGGATTGTAAACAGCATGAAGAAATGAGCACTGGACATGACACAAGACTTTGAGGAGCAGGAATATGTAAAGCAGCCCAGTCCTAATAATCCTGACCCTTAATAAAGAAATGGGGATGGTATCTTGGACCTTTGGCTGGATATATATTATAGTTCTGACCTTGCATTACTTCAGTTGAGTGAGAGTGATGTTCCATATACTCAGATACATAAAAGAACATCAGATTGTGCTCATACCTTTGTAAGAAATAGTAAACTTGCTGAATGTGAGGGGTAATCCAGATCCAGAAGTATCCCATTGCCAGACCAATTCCAGAGTACCAGGGGCCTGTGGGTTTAGTCACTTTTTGAAACTCAGAATCTACCAATAAATGGAATTGTGCATACACTTACCTGTTTTGTGAGGCTATGCATGTAACAGGTCATGCTGGTTGCTTGTTTTATGTACCAGCTCCTGGTTATGCTTGATGCCTCTGCTGGAAGTACAGGGCAGTGAGTGAGCATTCCCCTGTGTACCTGCTGTGTTTCATTGGGAAATTTGGGCAACTTCTGTGGTATTTATCTCATATATACATATATATGTGTGTGTGAGATATATGTCACACAGAAACTCAGCCTGAAGACCTCTAATCTGCATAATTGTTGTTTGTATGGAAACTGTTCCTGTTTTTTCACACACCCTCCACTGCACTGGCTTTTTTCTTACTGTCCTCTTATCTCAAAAATAATACAGAACTGCAAACAGCATTTAGGATTGATTGTAGTGGCATAGTAATTGTGTTTTCTGTTCATGTAATAAATAATTTTTAATAGTTAATTTGTTTTGACTGTTAATGAGCAATGAGCTGAAATTTTTATATCTCTATCTTTAATGAGCAAAATGTCTCATTTCTCAGTGTTGCAGCTAACTTGGAACCTGATATTTGTAAAAACACATTTGCTTCTTCATCCTGGTCGTTACTTTACCAAGTAACCAATAAAAAGGGAGGTGAGAGTGTGAGGTGGGAGCTCAGGCTGAGCAGGCAGCCCCCAGGTGTGCTGCTCCAAGCTGAGGCAGCCCCAGGCGCCTGGCCCTGGCCTTTCCCTCATCCAGGAACGTGTGCTGCAGCCCAGGCAGTGTTACTCTGGGCCTCAGCTGGCCTCCCTGGCCTCTCTGAAAGGGTCTTGGTCATTTATTCATTTGCTGGTGTGTTCTCCTCCTTGAGAGGTTTGTGGCAGGTGGCTTTGGTTTCATAGTGAGGAGCCTTGTATTCTCTGCTCTGTCACAGCTGTGAACTTTGCCACAAAACAATGCTCTGAAAAAGTACTGGAGTAGCTCAAGTTTGGCGCCTTAGAATTATTCTTTTATAGAGAATGATTTTGTGGTGCTGCAGCTGGGGTTTATTGGAGAATGAAGCAAAGAAAAAAACCTCAATTCTTACACTGTGAGCTATGTTTTACTTACAGAGGTGTGTGTGTATTGTGGTTTACAGACTTAAAATTTTATTTCATCACTGAGGTTAAAATTCCTATTTTCTTCCCTGAATTTCAGTTATTTCTGCAACATAAAATATGGGCTTTTATTTAGGTTGTCCTGAAATAATGAAATGATACTTGTATCATTGCCTCTAAATGGGGAGATGCTACAGGGAACCAAGTAAATTCTGAGTTTCCTTTCAAGTGCTTTGGACAGCTTACATGGGAAAGCAGTATCAGATCCTCCTATGTGAGACTTAGTATTAAAATAATTGCGTTAGCTTTTAAGCTTTAATTAGTTTTGTGGAACTACTGCCTATTACTTTTCCATGTGTAATATTTCTTAATTCATTACAGAAAGATTTATTTTAAGCAGAGAGAAAGTTCTAACACTAAACCCCCAAAGAAGATTTGTGACGTTAGCATTCCTTTGAGATGCAGTTGGCTTTGTGTTGAAGAAGTGCTCCTTTTGAATGAGGAGGAAGTAGTAGTGTGAGACATCTTTGAAAGTTTTTGCTGCTGTAGGGAGTGGTCATTTGTGGCAGAGTTGTTTAAATGTTGAGTTTGTATATAAGGCGTTTCCAGTCTTCCTCTGTTGCTCATGGTCTGCTTGCCTTGGCAGGAAATGAGTTGGTGATCTTTTTGGCTGACCAGAAGGAGCCCTACTTTAAGCCCCGTGTTAAGCTACCAATGAAGTAAGTATGGCTCCTCAATGCTGCCGCAGCCTGTTTGCCTTGGAAGGGCCTCTGCACTCAGTGGGAACTGCCTGCACTTGTCTGTGCTCTTGGTACCTCTTTGACTTGTTGTTCAGCTTGCCCTTTCAGCTCTAGCTCTGACCAGCTTCCTGATTCATGTCCTGATACTTTTTTGTTTGGTTGTCAGATGACAGAGTCTATGGAGATGAGTTGTGTCATTCATGTTGTTCACCAATAAGTGTTGCTTCCCACCCCGTATGGAATATTTATGGTTTAGGTTTTGTCCTCAGATTAGTGTTTAAAGTATTCATGTGTTGAAATATTTTTGCAGTTGATTTGGATCTTCAGGACTGTATTTCCTAGTGAAGCAAATTGTTATTCCATAGCATACATAGGTCTTTGTGGTGGGTAGGTTTAGTATCAATGCCAAGACATGTTTTCAGGGAAATTCATCCATTTGCTGCAGTTACTAATGGAATCCAGCCAATATAATCTGATTTAGAAGAGATGTGAAAGATGGCAGTCTGGTGTTTCTGTGTAGAGGTGTTCCTTTCTCAAGTTTACATGTGGCCTTTAAAAAACATCAGTTTTTAATAAATGTAAACTGATCTGTTTATATGTGCATATATATGTCTAGCTTTAATATCCTGTAATACTATTATGGTGATTGCTTATGAATAATGCTTACCAATGGTATTATGTTTATTAAAAGTTAAATTGCTTTTATAACTCAGCTTCATCTTCTGTATTCTACATATAAAAATTTATTTTTCCTTATTCCCTCCTGTCTGGGAAGGAACTAATTTGTTTAATGCATTAGAAAGAATCTGCTTTTAATCCTTAATGTGACCCATGTTTGTGTGTGTAAAGCAGAGTCTGAGTAGGTAAGCAATTAAAAAAAGATAGAACAAACAAAAGTAGGAAGGAGTAGTAAGACCTGGCAGAAGGTAGGAGGAAATGGCATTGTCTTTTAAAAAAATCTACCTGTGCCTGACTCCTGCTGTTTAAACAGCTCCTCTTGCCTTATGTTCTTGCTCTTGGAATGCAACCAAAAGATCTTGCTCACTGAAACACATTTTGTTTGACTGGTTCTAAACAAATGCTAGGACTTAATGAAGTGTAGATAGCATTAACAGGATATGGCTGAAGAATGTCTGATAGCTGAAGTTTAGAGTTAAAATGTCATTTTCCATAGACAAAGACAGCCTGTCAGGTGCCTTATTGAGATACTTTTGCAATAGGTAAGGACTTAATCCTAAACCAGGTTTTTGAAGGGGAAGTTTGTATTGGACCAACTGATAATCACTGTAATAATAACTGGGCAAGCCTTTGACCACACAAGTGCTTTTTACATGCACACCTTCTTACAATTATTTGCATGTGGGGGCTTTTGTTTTTAATTCCAGATCCCTCGGTGTCACCATAACCAGTGTTGTTCCTGGAGATTATGATGGAGATTCCCAAATGGATGTCCTCCTCACTACCCAGGCCCCAAGTCATGGCAAAGATGAACTTTCAGTGTTTATTTTCTGGGGACACAACCAAACGTTAGGTGAGTTGCTGAGACTGGTTCTTAGTAAGATTGTTAGACTTCTTAATTCAGAGTATTGTCAAGAAGTTACAACTCATTTTTACAGTGTAATGATTGTTTTTACCACTAAAGTAGGGATTAACACTTATTCAGCTTCACACCCATATATTATCCTGCTGTTAAACTGTGTTCAATAATTAATGAAAGAGAACAATACTTGCAGTATATTATGCAACAGATATAACCAAACATTATTCTAATTTGGCAGTACCTATTAACTGAAGAGCTGCTTCTCATGGCTTCCCCATCATGCATGTCAGCTTCACAAAGACTATCTCAGAAGATTTATCTTCAGTTTAAAATGCACAGGGAACCTGCTGTGAACTTAGTGCATCAGCTTTCAAAATCACATACCTAAACCTACCATCAGTAATAAAATATTTTTTTGAACTAAATTCATTAAAGACAGTGACACACTAAAGTGAGTATTGGAAGAAAGGTTTCTAGAGTCTCTATTGCTGAAAGTTTTCAAGACCTTTAGAACTGAGTTTTCAGGTGTCTCTTAGCAGCGTTTGAGGTATAGCTGATTCTCTCTTGGGGTAGAGTCATGGATTGTGTGAGCTATTGGGGTCTCCTCTGTTTTCTGTTGACTTTGCTAGGAAAGGGTTTGGGGAGGAATTTAGGGTTTGAACAAGCTAGCAGATAAGCAAAAGAAAATACTATTTAATCCCCAAAAACCTACTGAAGAATAATTACTATTTTAAACAAGTGTGTTACGGCATAGAGGTGAGGCAAGTTTGCCTCAGACACCATTGCTTCTGGCTTTAATCAGAGCTGAAACAAGCAACCTGGAAAAGTGCAATGGATCAAATATTAAGGGAAATAGCAGGTATCTCTAGTATTGGGAAGAATATGAGGAACTGGATGAAGTTATCCTGTTTTGTTTCAGGAAAAAACTCCCAAGTGTTGGGGGAAACACAAAGAGCATATGGGGCCTGGAGGAGGAGTCAGAGGTTAAAAATTCAGGCAGTGGTTGGTATGTGCTGAGGCCACTGGCAAGGTATGGGGTGTCTCCTTGGGTAATGAAGTGTGACAGACAAGTCAGTAGGAGGGGACTGTTGTGTGAAATGTGGAGATTGTAAAGACAAACATTGTGGAGAGAGAAGGGAAATGGGAATAATCTGGCGAGGAGTTTGGATTACAATTAAAAGTGAGGTCTAAGGTGATTAACCTGATTAGAGCTTAGTCCTCACTTCCCATTTGGAAAGTCTACCTTTATTGCTTATTTCAAATACTCAGTGTGTATAATTAAGAATGTTATTTACAGTAACAAAACATTAAACAGAAGTCAAACATACAATGAATGTTAAACTTTTAGCCTGTCTTCATCCCAGCTGTTTCAGTTTTCCTGTATCTGAGTGATTGCAGTCATACACAGATATAGGTTTCCCTGAGATCTAATGGAATAATATTTGAGGAGTTTAGTGGAGAGGGAAAAAGCCTTCAGTATTTTAACTGTAACTCATCTTTCCTGCAAAATTTCAGGAAGCCATTTAGTTATTTATATTTAGAATTGCCTTTTTTAAAAAAATCATAAACCAGATGGTTTTAAATAAATAGAGGAATTATGTCTTAGTTGAATGCAAATGTCAGAATATATTGGTAACTAAATCAAGTTAATATTTTCTGTTTTCAGATCTTAACCATAAAACTATGTTAAATAAGACTTTTCATGATGAGCCTCTAGTAATGGAGTAAGTATGACCTGTTTTTTTAGAAAACTACATTTGTACTTGTGACTAAGAGCAACTTAAATATATTTTAATGCTAAAAGTTTAAATATATGCTCTTTATCTTTTGAGAACTGGGTGGTTTGTGTAATGTCAATTGATCCAACAATAGATGATGAACCAAAATAGTTATCTTTACAATTAATGTATATGATATTATCCTGGCAATAGTAACTACATGATCTTTTAATTTCTTTCATTTCAGTACTGTGAATATTCAGAAAAAAAGCCATTCATTTCTCAGTGAATTTTGTAAAGCAAAAATCTTACTGGCTACCAATATGAGCAAATGTCCCTTTCACAATGTGCTTGGCTGTGTGTGAAATGCTGAACAGAAGTGGAGGGAAGTAGATCTGTAAGGCAAAGACAGGCAGAGTGTGAAGCACTGACAGACCTTTACTGCTACCAGCAGCTCAGACAAGAGCCAACAAATTCAGAGTCACAGCTGAGAGTGGGAAAATGTCCGAGTACAGATGAATTTAAGAGCGGGTGGTTTGAACTCCTGGGGGGACTGAGGTGGTACTGACATTGTGTTCCATTTTCAGCTTCAATGGAGACTTGATTCCTGATGTGTTTGGTGTCACCAGTGACTCGAGTAAGCCACAGATCCTGCTGGGAGGGTAAGCTGAGGGCTCAGGGCTCAGCATGGCTTTGGAACTTGGCATTGTGTATCCTCTTCCCATTAAAGTGTAGGATTTATGTGTGAATCCTCTTTCTGTCCATGGCAAACATTTAGTGACACTCTTCATCTGCTCTGAAAAGTGTTATTTTATAGGGCAAGTAGAAGTTCCATAAAAGCTGAGAAAACAGAACCACTGATAATAGACATCAGAAATAGGACAACTACTTCTGGGAACAATTAGTTCCAAGAAGTTATAGTCTCATTTGTTTAGTACAGTTTTGATATTTAGTATTATAATCTGTGTTAAGGAACTTGTGCTGCATAAAAGCTGCTTTCAGGTTGATGATGCAATAACTACTGGAACAGATCTTAGAATTAAAGGAATGGCAAAAGAAAAATCTGCAAGTGTTTGGGGTAGACTTAAAAAAACACTCTCATCTGTCTGGGAAATGATTTGTAGTGGGAAGGTTGGACACCAGAGGAAATCAAAAGCACAGGAAGTGCAGGATGTAAGAGTATTGAACTATAGGTATTAAGGAAAATATAGGGGAAGAGATTTCTGAAGTGACATAAAGCAGAGGTGACTAAGTAGCAGCACAAGTGTGCATACAAGTGGTGTCTGTATCACATCCCTTGTGTTAAGGAGTGCCTCAGGCCACTCATGGGCAGACAGAAGTTGACTGAAGCCTTATGAGATGAAATTGCAGCAAAGGGGATTAAATTTCATTATTAAAATTTCTGCTAGCCCTGAAATTTCTAGAATGGGACCAGTTATCAAGTACTGGAGTAAAAATAATGGCATACTTAAATGCTTAACAAGGACGGTACAAAGGATTATTTTTAACTGTTTTGGGTATGAATGCTGAAATCAAAGCATAACAAAAGATTGTGTCTCTGCTGGCTCAGAAGAGCCAGTCTGTAACCAAATAATATAGAGTAGCAATGTCTCTACTTAAACCAAGAACTTAAATTCTATCATTTGAAAATAAAAAAACCCTATACCTGTAGTTCCTATCTCTTTTCTTTTCCTAGGATAAATAATATTTGAATGTGTCAGTGGAAGCTATGCCCTTCTTGAGAGTGTGCTTTTGTTCATTAATCCTAACTTGAATTGTATCACCATACTTGTACTGGTTTTTCTTTCCTAGGATAAATAACATTGGAATGTGTCAGTGGAAGCTATGCCCTTCTTGACAGTGTGCTTTTGTTCATTAATCCCAACTTGAATTGTACTTGTACTGCTGGCTTATGAAACAGATTTCAGATTCACAAGGATGTTTCTGAGCATTTTACAATTACTATATATAAAATAAATTGCATGAGCTTTTGAAGAAATGGAAGAGTAGGAAAGATTTGTTTCATTTTGTTGAAGAAATTCTTTCAGGAGCTTTAAGATACAAATAAACTTATCCTAGCTCAAAGTAAGACTGAGTGCTGTAGGTAATAGCATAAGCCATGTCTTGTTCATGGAAAACAGCCTTGTCATCTGCTTAGAAAAGCACTTTTATATTGTAATCCAGAATGTTTTAAGATTTATTCTAGAGCTTTATGACTAACTTCATTGGCAGTCTTCAAGACTGAATACATAGAAAAACCTAGAGAAAATACTTAATTATTTCTTTAAGATTGTGATGCATTTTAACATTTCTAAGACTTAGCTGTGATCTTTGGGAAGTAATCAGAAGATTATTTATTTTCTTACCATAAATTAGTCAAGGAAGAAAAGGACTTCAATAAAATGTAATGTCACTGGAATAAATAAAGCAGTTCCCATGTAGTAGCAGTAATATTTCTGCCTGCTGTTGTATAGTGCACTTTGAGATTTTCCTGAGTGTTATAGCTACGGTTCAGCTAAAACACCATCATCATATCTCATGATCCAGCTGCTGTGACTTTTGAAGGATTTGTTGCACTTGAAATCACTGCTAATAGGGAGGTGTGCTGGAATTTCAGCCGTTTTTAGAACAGAAACCAGCAGGGCAAGTGTATTTATAAATAAATAAATAAATAAAAGTATCACCTGCTTGGGAAATTACATAATTAGCTAGTAGTCCATCATAATGTGGAAGTTTAATTGATGTGTTGATTTTTAGGTGAGCTGAAATAAAGTGTTATTTTCATGCAACAGGCATGAGCTGCTCTAACAGCATGTGCTTACTTCTGCTCATGTTTATTAATCAGAAAGTAAATTCCAGAAGTACTTGCAGAAGTAAAGCTGCTTGAAGAAACTGAGAAGGACAGGGATCAGTGTCTCAGGGTTTGCAGTACAGTTGGAGCCCTGGCACTAACTTTGTGAGTAGTGACACTGTTCTGTGCAAACCAAAAAAAGTTGCTTTAGAAAATTAATAAAATGGAACTGAAGCCCCTGTGCTATGAATCATCCTTCACAGAACCTTTCAAGCAATTACTGGAGTTACTTAGTATATTGTAAGCTAAGTAGGAATTTTGTCATAGTATTGGGAGAACATGCTTTCTGTCCCATTATATTTAAAGTTTCACTGTTTTTTTAAGCTATGATTATGCTCATATTTTTTAAGCTCATGATTAACAGTCCCTACACATTGATGAAATGTATTTTTATTCTTGTCTGTAGGAACTTGTCATGGCATCCTGCACTGGAAACTCAAAGTAAAATGTATATACCACACTCTCATGCCTTTATAGATTTAAATAATGACTTCACTGCTGGTAAGTCATAGAAGTGTTAGATACCATCCTAAAAATAATTATCACTAAGTGTCAATGTCATGTGTTGCAACTTCCTTCAGTAATTATATGATTTTGCTACTTCTGATTTGGGTTTTTCAGTTACTTAATTTTAATATCTATGATTTGAAAATTCTGGGTTTTAAAAAACAACTTTCAAAATAAATATCCCAATAGCATTTTCTATTTCTTGATGATAATCATAACTGCTGCTTGTTCTGAATGATGTTGTGTTCACCCTTAAAGTGTTGTTTCCTGCTCTTCACAATGCTGTACTCTAATATAGGTGGTAACTGCATCAGGGCTGCAGTTTTTCATTTGATATGGAAATAGTTAGGTAGTTTGATTCAGCAGAATGTTTTTAAGACTGGACTTAAATTTTGTTTTCAGGATTTCATTATGACTTCCTTGTATTATATTGTAGTTAGTTCTATCACTGGTACAACTAACTGTTCTCCCTTTATTTTGTTGGGGTATTTTGTCAATGTGATTCAGTTACCATGGTAAATCTGTTTATCACTTACATACCTGGCTCATATTTCCAAGCACATTTAAATATTGTGATAAACTTAATTTCTTCACACACTAAATTAATTCTGAAGTGCTTTCTCTTCTGCTAGATGTGCAATGTACATCAATTCATATATGGTAATTTTGGAAAGAGAGCTTATCTTTTTCCTGTTTAGTTGCATGGGAATGAGAGAGGAATGAGTCCATAAATTTAATTAAGATGTTTATAAATGTTGGGGATTAAGTTAATTGCTTTAGTATGCAGTCAAACCTTAATATCCAGTTCTAGCACATTGCTATGTGAAGCTGTCAAGTGGAAATTCCGACTGGAAAATTAAATATATGGCTGCTTACCATAATCAGTGTCATATAATAACCAGTTCTAACACACTTAGCTCTAGAATCCTTTTGGAAGGTTTTTTTAGTGGCATAAGCAGCAGAGATAAGTATTTCAGGTAGCATTTTAAGTTGAATACATTGAAATCTAAACTCAGAGGTGAGTAAAGGTAAGAAGTCTAAGATTCTTACATTGATTGGTCACAGACTGATCAATTTGTCAAGGTTTTTGACAGCTGCCAGACTAAAGAATGTTCCAAGAGTTGTAGTTAGTGCTGCTGCTGTGTGGAAGCTCCTCTATTAAATAGAAATGAGAGTCTGGATCTTTGTGTGGGTAGTGCTGGGAGCTTTTACAGAGTCACATCTATTTTTATATCTCAAGATGTGAGTAGAAGCTCCTGTGAAGCTCTTCCCATAAAGATCCTGACTTTTACTTTCTTGTAGCAGCAAGGCTGTGACACCTGGGGCTGAGGTACTACGTTAGGGTGTTATGTTTAGTGCTGTGGGAAGTGTTATGTTACAGGAACCTGGGAAAAATTATAAGGAAAATAATTCATTCTGACAAGAAAACTGGAGAAAGTATTACAGTATTATTATTTTTTAAAGTAATGTTTTACTTCTAAGGTGGGAATGATAATTTTTTTTTTTTTTACTGTCCCTATGAAGATGGGACTAACCAAGAATAAGACACATGTTGCTGAAAAATAGTATCAGTATATCAGATATTTCATGACTGATGTGTTTTTCCAAGAGTGCAAAAACTGGATTCCTGCCAAAATGAAAAGTTGCCAGTTGTCTAGTGCTGCCTGTGCATTTATGGCAGTTCCCTGACACCAGCTCTAGTAACTGCTTGGAAGTGGGGCTGCTGAGGAGCACAGTTCATTGTCACTGGAGTTATTAAGTTGATCCAGCTCACCATGCAGGTTTGTCAGAGCAGATGTAAGCACAGGGGAAAAGTTGACTCCTCTTTTAGTAGCAGCAGTTGTAGGCTGCCTTTAACCAAGCATGAAATTGTACCTTGAGTCTCACTGTGCCTCTTCCAAAAAATACCTGTGCAGTGTTCTCACCACGTCTGCTCTAATTTGTGGGTCTGTACAGAGCTGGGCAAGTGGCTCATAGGTAGTCAAGTGGTAGAAACTGAGGGGAAAAAGGGCAAAACAACAAAATCTGGAAGTGTGTAGGACTGGTGGGAAATGCACTGGGGCAGGCAGGGCACAGGCAGTGCTGGGTTACCAGTTTCTCCTTGGGGCCTGGCTCTGCTTGGCTCACAGGAGCTGGTGAGGAGGAGAGCGTTCTGTGACTCAGTGTTCACCCACACAGCCATTCTTCAGTGGGAACAAAGCCTCATTAAGAGCAGGGCCTTGCACATTAGAATTGTATTAATTAAAAAGGAGGCATTGACAAGATGCAGGGGAATAATCTGCCTGCTGAAATCATGTGCCCAAAACACTTAATGATCATGGGATTTGATGCTGCTGTGGGACTTTTGGACTGAAATAGTCAGGCTGTTTACTCGCAGGCAATGCTGCTGTTCATGATTATAAGGATTATAATTGCACCTAAAATGGATGGAGTGATTTTTGTTTACAAACAGATCACCGGGACATGCCATTTTACTTGTTCTTCATGGGGTTTTTTGCAGGTATTTTTAAAGATTTTTCTAATATTCTACAATATTTTGGCACTCTTTGTATTCTGTAACAGATGCAGCCAATTTGATGATTTTTAGCTGGGCTATTTTTGGCAACTCTATCATTATAAACAGCTTAGGAGATTTAAAGTGTGCTTGACATAAAACAAAAAATCCTCTCTGGGCTGAGAAGCTTTTTGCTAGTTTATTGCCTAACCCGTTTTCAACCTGCTGATATTAAACACTCAGAGCAGAGCTTTTAATTGCCACACTTCTTATGCTCTGGGTGAAATGAAGTTGAATTGTTATGATTTCATTAGACGAGAACTTGCTCATAAAGATGTGTTTAATCCCTAACAATGCTTCATGAAAGGCTAACAGTGTAAGGATTTTATAATCCAAAAATCCTCTAACCAACAAAGATAATACTAATCTTTCTTGGTAGGAGATAAACTGGACTGTTGCAGAGAGTAATGTTGCTGCTGTTTTTAAAGAAAGCATCCTCGTGCAGAAGTCTCAGCTCCCTATAGTTATTAATTCAGTAAGGAATTCTGAGTTAAACCAGGAATTTCATTAAAACCATTGCAAAAATTTGCAGTATAAAACCTTTACCAAAGGGTCTGTATGTGCTTAATGGATAAACTAAGTACCACACTTTCAAGTGTCTCTTGCATGCATATCAAGCATGTGTTGCTGCAGAGAGGAGTATCTGCTTTGCAGAGTGGCTGAGCTGGGAGGGGATTGCTGGAAATGGGCTGGTCAGGCATCCTGCCATCCCTGTCACTGCTGGGACATGGCACTGAGGCTGCAAGGTGAGCAGTAAATGTGGGGGCCCTTGTTAGAGCAGGGCTGCTGGCTGTCTAGTAATTCTTACTCACACTTGTCATCAGTTCTTTTTCACAGCTGGCTTAGGACAATAATCTCCAGCTAATAATAATAGGCTTGTCTGAACAGATTAACATCAGGTGTATTTTACAAAGCAAAAAGTCCAGGTGAGCATTTCCAAAGAAGGATGATCAAGTAAGAGGCCTGTCTTAAAAATATCACAGTTGAAATTCTAAGGATAGTGATTCTTTTGCTGTGTCACCTTTTTTCTAATTAGACAACTTAATTACTTTTATTGTAAACGTAGTAAAATGTCAGATATTCACTTAGTGCTAAAGCTGTCTTTCTAAACTTGGGGGGAAAAAAACCACGATTAATAAACCATAGATTTGTTTGCATTCAGAAATACAAGTCAGGCCCCAGAAATACAAGTCAGGGCCAGAAATCACGCCCTACAAACACTTTTAAAGTGCTCAAATGCAGGACACAAGCTGCCTTGGACTGTGAATCCCACTGTAACTTCATACTGTACATCTGTCAGTGTATCCTTGAATGCTATGAAAAATAGCTGATGTATTAAATACTCTGTGTGTCACTTGGATATGTGATTCCACAGTTTGGAAGTCCTGGTTTTACAGCTGATCTTGTGTTGAACACTAGTACGTGGTGTGTATAGTTGGAGATATTTCTGGAGCTGTTTATATAAAATGAAGGAAAAATCATAAATTTGGGTTTGGGAAAAGTAAAGTGAAAAAATCATTAGTCAGAAACAGCTTGCTGTAAGCTAATTGCTAGTCTCTTTACTGATTTTGGTAGTTAATTTTCTTATGTTGTTTTGCTTTGGGAATTTAGAAACCTAATGTACCAGAACGTTCACAATGTGTTTTCTCTTTGGTTCCCACTTAGTTTAAATGTATAAATGTAGATAGTTTTCTTCTTGCAAACCAATCACTCAAATCATGGGTGGTATTTCTGTTGTAGTCATTTAAACCTAGATTCTGAAAATAGTCTAATGCTCCATGTCAGAGTCTCTGATCATATTTTCAGTGAGTTTCCTCTTCCTGGAAGCTGGTAGTCCCCGTGCAGCTCATATTACCAGCAGAGCTGATTTTCTGCAGTAGATCTGCATTTATTCACTATTCTAATCACTGGTAAACAAAGTATCTGGTGGCATTTTAAAACTTGGGTGGGGCATGGGGGTGTGTGCATATATTTATTTGAAGTCAGTTTGTTCTCTCTGGGTCTGCCCCCTCCCTTACATTTCTCCCAAACAAATATTCCGTAAAGCCATGTCACTGTGTTGTTCCTTGAGCAGGTACAATTTTTTAAATTTCTTAACTGTTTTTACCTCTGATAGCAGAGCTTACCTCTGAGTTTACAGCAAATCATGGAGGCAAAAAATGTATCATGTAAGATAGGATATATTTCAGAGGACTTCAGTTTGTAAAGTTTTGTTTGTTTTTCATTACTTCTGCTCTTTACGTGTTTGTTGTATCTAATTAAAAATGCTTTGTGTGATGTGATTCCCTGTCAGCCCCCCTTCCTCCACTTGCTCCTTCCCAGTGTTCAATACCACAGGAAGTTGCAGCTCATAAAATCAAACCCAGAGCAGGGTTTAGCTGCATCTCCTCCTGCTGCTGGGGCTGGGCTGCCTTTGCTGATGGCTCCTCTTGCTCACAGC